TTGGGGTAAGGGATAGTGGAAAGGGAAAGAAGCAGTGATAAGATCAAGGACAGGTCATTACAGTTTAAGTTCATTTCCTTTTTACTAGATTGGCAGATCAGGGAAATATGGTAGTTTACCTACAAGTTAACAAAATATTTTGCAAAGTCTCTTGTGCCATTCTTCATAAATAACATAGAGACATGGGGCTAGAGAATTTGGTAGATTTGAAACTGGAAAGGTAGATCCTACGAATAATCCAATGTTTTCATTTCCTCTGTTAACTTGCTTCTTTAATCACACCTCTCTCACTAATTTTCAACCTCTCTATTCACTGGCATCTTTCCTGATGCCTAGAAGCTTGAATAGATCTCCCCCATCTTTAAAAACCTTACCATCCCCTCAAGCTATTGCTTTGTTACTTTCATCCCTTTCACAGACTCCTAGAAAATGTTGTTGACAATCACTGCTGCCACTTTGTCACCTCCCACCCAATTATTCTTGGGCTTCAATTTGTCTTCCACTCCAATCACTTGCCTGAAACTATTCTCCAGCAATGATTATCAATTCAAATGGCCTTTTCTTGGTCCTATTCTTCTTGATATTTCAACATTTAACACCGTTGACCATCCTCTCCTGGGCTTTTTGTCTGAACTGTACTCCCATCTACCTGAATGATCCTTCTCGGTCACCCTTGAAGGATCATCTATGTTCCTTCCCTTATACATAAGTGTATCCCCAGCTATCCTATGCTCTCTCCTTTTCTCTTTCCAGCTGATTTCATTGGTTTCCAGGGTTTTAATCATATCCCAAATATATACAACGAACTCTCATATATTCCCTGAGTATCAGACACATCTCCAAATGCTTGCTAGACATCTCCCCAAGGATATTCTCCAGGCATCTTAAACTCAGCATGAATCTAACTCCTATTAATTCTCCCTAATCTTTTCCAAGCACTATTGACAGTATCTCCATTCTTTCAGTCACAAAAAATCTGAAAACATCCCCAGCTTTTCCTTCTCATTCCTGTCCTAAAATCAAGTCAGTTGCCAAGTTTTTGTTTCCACATCTCCTGTATCCATTCTTTCCCTCATAGCCACTTTAACTCAAGAAATCAATACCTCTCCCCCAGTCTATTGCAATAGGTCCTTCTAACTGGTTTCTCTGCCATTTATGTCTCCCCTGTCTCATTGGTCTTCCACATAGTCATCAAATTGATATGCTTAAAGCACAACTTTATTCAAGAAGCTTTACTAGCTCCTTATTGCTGAAGGAATAAAATAAATAATCCTCAGGTATTTAAAATCTTTCACAATAGGGTTCCAGCCAGGATGGTTATACATTACCTATCCCTTCCCCAACAATACACACATGCCAGTTGTTCCCTTTAAAGACATTTCATCTCTGATTTCTATACCTTTGGACGAGCTGTATTCCATGTCAGGAATCACCACTTGGAACTCTTATGTTCCTTCAATGTTCAGTACAAGTGACACTTTCTCAAAGGGCCTTTTCTGATTACCCCAGTTGATAGTGCTCTTCTTCTGACAGTTTGTAGCATACGCTTGCAGTAACTAGAACGAGTATCCAGAAAAGAAAACTAAGAAAAAGTAATCGGATAGGAAGAATAACGAAGAGAGAACAGTATTCCAAAAACCTGTAGAGAAGAGAATATCGAGAAGAACAGGGAGATACACAGTGTCAAAGGCTACACAGATGTTGAGGAGGATGAGGACTGAGAAAAGGCAATTAGCTTTCTATTACATATAAAACAAAGAAATCCTTCTCTTATAATTGCCTATGTGATAGGGAATAGTGATCAGCAATGTACTGTAAAAATGGTCTATAATGCTATTTGCTCCACAACCCAAAGGCATCCCCCTTAAACTTCTTTCTGGGTCACAGGGTTTGCTTATAACCAGATAATATACACAGTCCTGTCTTTGGCCTACTACATCTCACCCCTTAATGGGGGTAATAGGCAGTCATCCCATAATCCCAACCATGTTAAAAATTTATTTTAGTTCAAAATAATATTTAATGGGTTCGTTGCTGGATACAACATTTACAACAAATTATAAAAAGCAAACTACAAAGCTAATTATAAAAACTGCTATTACAGAAATAGACTCAAGAACTCATTTATTTAAGATTCTAAACGGTCTTGATCTCCCATCCTTCATCCTGGATATTGGGAAAATTATGGTCTCTACTGAGTTCCTTTCCTCAGCAGATTTCAGAGCTACTTCTCTTCTCAGTGTGCGGAAGCAGAAAGTCTAGGTCTGGGAATGAAGTCCTTTACATATAATGTCATTGTCTCTCAGAAACTTAAAAACCTTCATCATCTTCCTACTGGTCTGAAGGTAACCACCTGTTGTTTCATTAGTTTGCCCTATTTTTCAACATTTTATAACCAGCAGATGGAGCAAGTAAAAAACAGATGAATCTTTAAAAATCAAAAAGCCAGTTTCCTCATTATTATAGTATACATTTCCCAGGTTAAACATTCGCCAAGGCTTTCCTTCTTTCCACACACATTTTTGAAGTTGTTCCTTTCACAAAATTAATAAGGCTTTATGACCCATCCAAGGCCTAAATTTCAGAGGGGCTGACAAATTCTCACAGAACTTCACCCAGATAGTGACACTTTCCAAAGTCTTTTGTCCTTTTCCCAAAGAACACCTTAAGTTTTTATCCACAGTGGGTTAAAAACTTTGCAATATCTGTGAGCAATAGAACTCCCCAAATCTCTGATTGAAGTCTGGGTCTGGGCTAGGGTATTCAATTTCCATGTGAGAGGTGGTTCAAAAAAACACACTTAGAATTGTAAATCACTTTCTTCCCAAGACACAATAAAGCAATAAACATTCCTGAATCTCCAGGGAAGAGTAAAAGAGGGAAGTCTAGGTGTATTGTATATAAATTCCATAAAATCTCTACTTTTTAACTATCCCAGAAAGGTGCACCTTAAAAATTCTCACTAGGATATTTTAGCATATAAAAACAGTAAAAATTCACTTCCGTCCCAGTTTGGAGATCTACATTTGAAAAATTATTCCTGAATCACTAGATTGTCTCTGTGCCATAGTTTTCTACTGCCATAAATCCCCATCGGTGGGGGAAGGTGAGTGCTTCCCTTTCCTTAACTTTTATCTATCTTTTATCTCTGCATTCCAAACTGATCAGAATTAGATTTCAAAGAGAGGATGAATGTTTAGAAACTTTGAGCTGAAAAACTCTCACTCCACCACCCTTTCTCCTTTGGCAGATCAAACCACAAGAAAAGGAAGTCTTTCCAGAAAACCAGTTGCAGAATAGAGGCATTGCTGACAACATATGTTCACTATACACAACAATGAACAAACATAAAATCAAAAACTTCTTTCTTACAAGAAACACAGAGCATCAGCTTGAATTTCTCCTAGGATTAAAGGGGTTAAACTCATGTTTCAGAGAGGCAGAAGGTTGTTCTCCCTCCTAGAGACCCTGCCTTGCCGTTTCCACTTCCCTTTCTCTTTTTTCTACATCTTCCACACTGCTCTCAGAGGTTTGTCAAGGTATCCCGTACTATCCCGTTGGTGGAATTTCTCCAAATTACCCACAGTTCTTGTGCCACCACAAGAACTTGTGCTAGTATCGCCCCTCTCTTAAGTCAGAGAATCAATTTCTTGTCTTCCCATTGTCCTTGTTTGAACCAGGAAATCATTTTCATCCTTCTCCTCACAGTGCCAAATGTAATGGGCTGGCAGTCATTCTAACTTTAAATATCAAAGTTTTATAAATAACTGACCCAAAACAAGCACTGGATTTGCAAAAGAATAGGTTGACTTAGTTTTACAGCTGTCAGACATGGGGTTCTTGCCCTGTTGGTGGTGCTGATTCTGGTTCAGTTTAGTTGAATTGAGAGCCAAGACCTTCCCTTGTCTCTCTTTTTCTCCACGGAGACCATGCTTGAGTGTAGCAAACACAGCCAGCATGGAGAATCTGCCAGGTCTAAGAAGGCAGGAAGCTGCCTTGATGGGGTAAGGGTGTGCCAGGGACTAAGTTACCACTGCAAAGCCTTTTCTTATTCATAAACAAAGAAACATTTTTGTTCTAATTGTGTACGTGACAGGAGCTATTGGTTAGCCACATCACATAATTTCCATGAAGTTTATGATCCTAACTACTCCACATTCTAGTGATTTAATTTTGAGCCACAAACCCTGTTCAAAACCCAGGGAATGTGCACTGGGATGTAACCTAACATAAGATGCTTTTTAAAAAAAAAAAATACTAATTGGTTAATTGAAAGAAAATGGGATTTAGAATTAAATGGTCAAGTTCTAATCCTGCCTCTCTACTTACTAGTTGCATGCATGAGTCAAATCACTTAACTTCACTGGGTCAATTTCCTCATTGCAAAATAAGAGAGCTGGACAAGATTATCTCTAACATCTAAATCCTACGAAATACCACAAGTCATTTTTCCTAATTAAAAACACATTCAATTAAAAGATTTGTCCCAAATATAATTTGTATAAAAGGACATACTTCTGTCTCAGGCCACAATGAAATTAAATTTAACATTTAATGGAAAGCTTACTATTTATGAAAACAAAACTGACATGTTATGAATTTTAAAATAGTCATGTTTTATTAGTTTTTTTAAAACTATTATAAAAGGCAATCTTATTTAAGGCATGAAAAGTGTCTTCTTTTTCCCCCTTTCCCTCCACTCTCCTTTCCATGATTCTCACACAGTGGCAAATGATGTTAACTTGCTATTAATATATATACTTTTCTGAAAAACATCATAAAGTTCACTCTTTAGAGGAAACGTGAACAATGTAATTTTCCCACAAAAACAGAAATATTCCATTTGGCCAGCATCACAGTGTCCCAAAATTTTTAGACTTCTCTTTTTCTGAGGTTTCTTACTTGAAAAAAAAACACCCAGAATTTCATTCACCAAAATTAACTTTCTCCTGAAAAGCCCTCATTCACAAGCATTAAAGCTTCCCTTCTTCTCTTCACAGGAATGACATGTCAAGCCCGGAGTTCTTATGTGACCAGTGAGATCCTATGGGGTTATCGTTTTACTCCTGTTCTGACACTAGAGGATGGTTTCTATGAAGTAGATTACAACAGCTTTCATGAGACATATGAGACCAGCACACCATCTCTCAGTGCCAAAGAGCTGGCAGAATTGTCCAACCGGGCTGAACTGCCTCTGAGTTGGTCTGTGTCCAGCAAACTCAACCATCATGCTGAACTGGAAACTGAAGAGGAAAAAAACCATGAAGACCAAACAGAGAGGAATGGTGATGTGACAAAACTAGAGAATGAATCCAAAGTTTAAAATCTTGGGTGGAGCATCCCCTTGTCCTCATACAACCTTTGTTTATTTCTTTCTTTTTCCCTCATTTTAATGTGTTAAAAAAAGAAATCTTCAAGGTGTGAAATATCTGCCTGCCCATTCTCAAATATAGAGCTTCACAAAGCAGTCAAAGACATAGTGGCAATGGCCTCTGTTAGTGGTCTCCTCTCAGACTGTCATACTTTCAAACTCTTATAGATTTCAGCTAGAGATGTGCATGAGATCTGTGATACCAGGTTGCTTAAAAAAAAAAGAGGGTCATATTTAATACCTGGAACATGAGAAGCCATCTCTGGTGCCTAATCATTCTTTTAGTGAGAAGAAAGTAGCTCTAAATTGTATATATTCCAGTAAATTTCATAGATGGGGTGATAAGCTTGCCAAAATGGGCATTGCCTTTCTAAAGCTGTTATGTTAAAAGACCGACAATTTAACAAGACACTGTACATATGCCTTATGTAATTTTTTTCTCTTTACACTTAGTAATAAAACCCAGCATGTACACAGGTACTGTAGTAAAGACCTTCTAAATAATGTACATAGTTGTGCAACTTATGTAGATTTAGACACCTAACTTTAGAAGTAACTATATGAAAAAAAAACCTACTGTATAGTTGGCACTTCTGTTCTAACATTTGTATTTCTCAAATTATTTTAATCCCTCTCTATTATCTGGCCATTTGGTGCATGGCCCTCTCTTCAGTGTACCACACTGGCAGCTATTTAGGTCACCTCAATGTTTCTTTACTGATCCTTTCTAAAAAGCCATAGGTCTGAGGGGAGCTGGGATTAGGAAGTGAAGAAACCACCACAAATTTACAGATATATTGTGAAATGTTTACTAAATGAATCTTTTTTATTAGGACAAAGCTATCATTCTCAGATAGTCTTCATCTACCAATCTGATCTGTGGTAGCTTCTTGGGAATAAGGTTATCTCCCACATAACTATTAATACATCGTCACATCAGCCTTTTCCTTTGAAGCATAATAGCTTGGAGAAAAAATTTTTCAAAACTGTTTGTGTCCAAGTGGTTCCATCACAACCACTGGAAAATTTTGAAAATTTATATTCTAGCTGTGGGCATTTCAGACCTAAAGTTATAGGATTTCACGAAAGGATTCAATGAATGACATTTATTAAATTCATTAATCATTTTATTGGTTTTTGAATGCTAAAAAAATAAATCTGTATCTTTGCCTCACACATACTTCTTCTTCAACTTCCAGATGTTTTTCTATCACTATTCACGTAGAACCAACATAAAAGAATATGGCAGTCACAAAGGTTTTGCATCTGGACATTTTTTTCCCCTGAAAGATTCACAAATCAAGACCTAGATTATCAATCTGCATCACCTTTGTGAAAATATTTCTGAAATCGGGTAGAAGGTTACAAATCTGACCCCAAAGTCTCCCTCAATCAAAACAAAAGAACTACAGCCTTAATTTTTAAAATTGCATGTATATATCTTATCTGCCTAGTCTGAAAAAGAAGGATTCACTTTTTTTTAAAATATTTTTTGTACAGAATATTTGAATTATAAAGTAACAAATACAGACACACACAAAAAGAAAAAAAAAACCTCAGGAGAAACATAGTGGGCAGGTGGAAATTTTGCACTGTGACAGATCTTTCACATTAATTTCACATCTATAAACTATCTGTCCCTAAACACAGTGGCCCATCATACTTATTCATTCAGTGGATATGTTTATTTTCAGCTTTTACAGCTGTGCTGTTTGAGATTTTGTATCATCTAGGTCAAAAGAGATCAAAACTGTTTCTGTTTCCTCTCTCCTCCCCGGCGGAGATGTACATTTCTTTGCTATATCGGGGTCGGAGTGGAGGTTTTGTCTATTATAAAAGACTTCACAGAGAAGCAGGATGTGGTTCCCCCAAAGTAAATGACAATTCTGGAGGCAGACTAGGGTCTGTCTTCACCTTGTCTGGTGGGTCTGCTCCAAGATAACTTTTTTCTTGCCCTTTACTTAAGTGAAACAAAGCTGTGTTTGCCGTTGGCTATTTCCCTTTGGTGGGAATGCCAAGGCACTGAATATCTGTCTATTGAGTATTTCTCTTCATACTTCACACTGTAAATGTAAGGCTGTTTTCTGGGAAGAGAAAATTCACTATTTCCTGTGCTAAAACAGTTTATATGCTTCTCAGAGGGAAAACCACCCTCACCAATTTCAGGGTGGAGAATGATAACCTTGTATCAGTGGTAGCCTTATAAACAGAGTGCCTCATAGTGAGGGAAATAACCAACTGTGCCCATAAGGCTCAATATCTCTGCGTCAGCCTTGGGTTTTAGGGCAAAGCAAAGGAAGCTGTGATGATGAGTCCACCCCAACTCTAACTTTTAATTCTCAAACACCTTCCTAGTTGGCTGAGTTGAAAGAGCAGCTCAGGGCCCTACTAAACTTTTACATGCCCTTTAGCACAAATGAAAAAGAGAAAAACTTTATGCCATTGAGGGCATGTGCATGTGTAACTTCTATTTTTGTGACTGTGGTACTTAAAACTTAATGTCTCTCCCTCTAAACGTCTTTGGTATCAATGTAGTATGAGACAGAAAGTTTACCAAATCTCTCTTTTTTTTTTTTTGTAACATGAGCTTTCTAGGCTTTAAAAGGGGAAGCTTCACAGAAACTTTGTACTAGAATGTCCCTATCAAACAGCCTCTATTTTTCTACAATTATTAAGCAGTTTAACAATGTATTTTGTGTCAATTACTTCAACTTCAGTATCAAAATTTCAGAACTAAATGTTAATAAGACTGAATTTTCCAAGTGGCAAGTATTGAATGGTATTTTTCATTACTATTTATGCTGCAATTGCTATCCATTCTATTCTTTACCCAATATAAAAAAATACACTTGATTTAATGTAACTTCACTACAAACAAGGGTTGCTCCCAAATTAATATTTTGGTTTTGTTGATTCATTTAGGTTAGTTTTTTAAGGAATTTATGGAGAAGTAGGAGACTAGGCTAAAATACCACAGAGTGTCTGCTCACGTTCTGACAGAACATGGCTCTGAATGAGTGTCTCCTTCCAAGCTGATGATCCTAACAGGGCAGGGGTTTTTGGATTAGATTTCCCTCAAGATACCTGCTAAAATCCTCATATTCTCATACCCCCCACAATATGCTTCACAATTAGAAGCAAAATATGTTCATTTTTAAATTGACTTTATGTAACTAATAAAAATGTTTTTTGTTGTCCTCTGAGAGAATTGCTCTGTTTCATTTTTTAAATTCTTCAAATCACTGTAAAGTCAAGTTGTGCTTTCAACATTTGCATTAATGTAGCACCCAATCTGGGCTACTCCAGCTCCCTCTTAAATTAGTGGGTCAGGTCCTCAGAGGGTGATGAACTATGACTCTTCTCTGGAATCTAGGGATAACCCCAAAGTGACTGAGGTTTCTAGTATCATATGAGTCCCTACAATTATGTTTCCCGTTGTTAATTAAAAATACAGTTCATTTAAACTTTCAGAAAAGGATATTTACTAAAATAGTAGGTATAAAACATTCTCCCTACCAAAAAAATCTGGGACACAATCTCCCACACACACTTAAGCATACATGTATACAGAGAATATGTTGCAAAGGGTCACCCCTTCATAGGTCCTAGTTACTGGAAGTCCTATCTTGAATCCACAGCTCGTGTTCTTCTCATGTGTAAGGAAATGTCACTCCTTGGAGTAGCTTCATCTCTTAGATGGATATCTTTTTGTATCTGTGTTTATTTGTCCTTAGTATGTTTTCTAGACACATTGTCTGCTACTCATAACATAGTTTGGGGATGTAGAGGTGGGGGACAGGGAGCAGGGGTAGTACTATTCCCCATGGGCTCCTTTTCAGCAGTTATTCCATCTATCAGCAAAGAAATCAAGTAGGGGTCCTCAAACTAGAATTCTCTACCACTTGACTAACTGTAGAAATTCTTTCACTCTTCAAAGCTGCCCACCCCATGAGGTCATCTATTTGATTAGCTAATCATGCTTGACGCAGTCAAAGAGATTCACTTCTCATCAAGGGATCAAAGGACACGAATCATCTTGTTCACACATTTAAAATTTCATCACCAGGGCCATCTCTATACTTAACAACTTAACAATATTAATTGAGATGGAGGTGGAATATCACCCTTACCTTACATAGGAGCATTTCTGCTTCTTGATGATTGGGAATATCCATATGTTGCCCTAGAAGCTAAATTGTACCAAATACATTGATGAATTACATTTTAAATGAAAAATGAAGGAAAGCTCCTTTGTCCCTAATATAACCTCACATTGGTATAACCAAGAATTTCATCTAAGGGGTCAGAACAATGTAGATTAGTACATTTGACAAGTACAATGTGCATGTTTTATATAAATATATACAAATATATATATATATATGCACACATACATGAGCACAGATACATTTATATATTTATACACACAAATATATGAATGTGAATATACATATATATGTATAATTCATGTAAATGACATTAAATATTAGGCAGATTTGTAGATCCAGATTTTCTTTATATTTAAACTTGTAGAAAGAATAAATCTTTCCTTGAGACTATTACTACTAAAACAAGGCTGTCCATTCAAGCCTAAGGGATGTAGTTTTCAAGTTAACTAAACTTCTTTTTACTATTTCTTTTTTTTTTAATAGTTTTAGGCAATTGGGGTTAAGTGACTTGCCAAGGGTCACACAGCTAGTAAGTGTCAAGTGTTTGGTCTGAGGCCGGATATGAACTCAAGTACTCCTGATTTCAGGACCAGTGCTTTATCCACTGCACTACCTAGCTGCCCCCTGATTACTATTTCTTAAGGATGGAGGGACCCCAAGCTCTATATCCAAGGCCTTATTCCCTTCCCACCAAATACTAATTCTACAATGAACACACATGGCAAATAGGAAAGAAATGCACTTATCCAAGTCAATAGCAAAACAGAAATCTAAGAAAACATA